GTGTCAGGGCCAAATGGACCGCTCGAAGCTCTAGCCAGTTGATATTATGGCCCAAATCCACCTGGGACCATTGTCCCTGGACCACCCTGGATTGAAGGTGGGCTCCCCAGCCATAAAGACTGGCATCCATGGCCAGCACTAACCTGTCCAGTTCTGTGAAGAAGAGTCCCATGGAAAGCACCTCAGATGACCACCATTGTAGAGATTTAAGGACCAACGGAGTTAATCTGACCTGCAAGAGGGAACAATTCTCACCTGTCTTCTGATAAGGCAGAAGAAACAATTGGAGTGACCTGGCATGCAATCTAGCCCAGGGCACTATATTAATGCATGATATCATTTTTCCCGGGAGCTTGGAAAGCATAGCCAGGGACACTCTAGGTTTGGATTTTACTTGCCCAATTAACTCCCTGATACTCTCCTGACATTCCTGGGATAAGTACACCTTGCAAGAAATGGTATATATTACAGCTCCCAGATGGAGTAATGTATTGATGGGAGTGAAGTGACTTTTGGCTTCATTGACAGAGAAGCCATGCTCTTGGAGCACCTGAATGGTGATTTCCAAATCCTCTGCTGCCCTAGATGGGGAAGATGACTGGACCAGTATATCATCCAGGTAACACTGGACTCGTACTGGAATTGCCCTAAGGTGGGCTGCCAACAGCTTCATAAATGACCTGGGGGCTGATGAGAGTCCAAAGGGCAAGGCCCTGTATTGATAGTGCCTTCCATTATAGCAGAACCTGAGGAACTGTCGATGGGCTGGAATAATGGAGACATGGAGGTAGGCCTCCATTAAATCTATGGAGGTTGGGAAGTCCCCTTCCCTAATTCCCTCCAGAATAGACTGGAGCGAATCGCCTGTATTTCACCTGGCGGTTAAGACGCTTCAAGTCCGAATTGTCCTCCATCCCCCCGAGGCTTTGGGGATTACAAATAAGATGGAATAAAATCCCATGCCCTGTTGGCTCTCAGGCACCGGCTGAATAGCCTGAATTTCCAGCAGGTGCTGAATAGCTGTTTCCATAGGGGCCTTTCTTTCTCTATTGCCAGAGACAGGACAACAAATGAAAAACCTCGGGGGTATAGAAAGGAAGTCTGTGGATAGGCCCGAGTGGACCATCTCCAGGACCCAGGCGTCTGTGGTTACCTCCTCCCAACACCTGGCAAATAATGCCAGACGTCCCCCAATGGGAGGGTTGACATCAAGTTTATCTGGGGCGTCGGAAGGAACAACCCCCACCCCCTCGAAAGGGCCGCTTATTGGTAAATGGGTGACTTTTACCTCTCCTGGGGTTTCTCCTGCCTGGGGACGAAAGGCCTCTGTGGCCAAGAGAACCCTTCTCCTGCTTCCTGGGTCCTATAATAGGAGCGTCTGACATAGGGTGTTGGTCTGAAGTCGCCCCTTCTGGACCTGGACATCAAGACCTTCCCCTTGTCCTTGGAGTCCACCAGAACCTTGTCCAGAGCCTCTCCAAATACTTGTCCCCCTTAAAGGGGGCAGTGGCCAACCTCCACTTATGTCTCATGTCAGCCTGCCATTGCCTTAGCCAGAGCAGGCGATGAGAGGTAACAGTTCCCCCTATTGCCCTAGATGCAAATCTGTCTGCACTGAGGGTGGCATTGGCTGAAAATTCCACTGCTGCTAATAACTTGTTCACATGTTGGTGTGATCTGACATCGTCCAGTGGAATTCTCTCTTGCAGCTCCTGGAGCCAGATAAGAGAGGCCCTGTTAAAGAAAGATGCGGCTGTGGAGGCCCTCACTGCTCATGCTGCCGACAGGTGTGTTTTCTGCAACATTTGCTCAGCCTCTTGTCCTCCGCCTTCAGCGAGTCTTCAGCCTCCCCAGGGATGTCAGTGGTGCCTTGCAGGGCTGCAACTGGGGCATCAACATCAGGCACTTCCAGGGCTTTGGCTAGATCTCCTCCCATGTTGAACATCTTGTCCAGGGAGGAAGGGCTTGGATCCAACCCAAGGGATGACCATTGCCTTTGGATGACAGTGGTGAACATCTTTGGCGCAGGGATGACATCTGCTGTTACTGTTTTTTCTGAAAATAGTGGGTCATTGGGGTCCTCAGAAGGGTCAGTAGGCTCCTGTGGTTCAGGAACCAAGCCTCGCCCTGTGGCTTTTTTCGCCTTGAAAAGGAGCGACCTGAAGATGGCTGGTTGGAACAGACCTGGTATAGAGACTTGGTCAGCATTGTTGAGGCCTTCATCATCAGAGTAGTTTCTGTCCATCAGTTGCCCACTTTCAGATGTGATAAAGTGGGAGCTTTCAGCAGGAACATATGACCCTGATTTTGAATGCAGGGAAAAATCATCCTCATGATGAGACCTGTGTCTCCTGCTACAGAATGGAAGAAATGCTTACATTCATTATAATTCAACAGTTTGTAACAAAAATTAAAAACAATTTAAGAGAAATTCAGCCAATCAATTCATTATTGTCTGAATAAAGTGTGCTTTATTTTTATGAAGATACATAAAACATTTTATAAAGAAATGATGTTATACTGTAGTAATTTAGCATCAGGAATGCTAAAAATAAATATTGCCCATGTTTCAAATCTTGCCTCTTCTCAATGTTACGCAAATACTGTAATATTATCATAAAGACTTTGAAAAATATTTTCTTTCAGTTGCATATAGCATTTACAGAAATTTTACATATTTTCTGTTCCATCTTTCCATATCTCCATTGATCTCCAATTTCTGTCTGAAGCTGAAAATGTAGAAGATAGAGAAAACGTGTTTTAAAGCCTCCTAAAAACAAGCACAATGATTCTACAAATTACTTGAAATTCCAATGGACCTACATCATTGTAAATATACCAAGAATTATTTTGGAAGACTAGACAAGAATGTTTGTGACAGCAGTTTTTTACTACATACCTATAAGAGAGTTGTATTTTACATAGCTTTTCTTGGTGCCTAGTTCCCTATATCAAACATGGCAAATTTTATTGTCATATAAAATTCTATCTTTTTTTGTAGTGGGTGGACAGAATCTATATGGGAAAAACATACTTAGACCTCTAGCCATATAGGACTTTAATGGTATGGCTATAACCTTGAATTGTAGTTAGAAACAGCTGTAGTGTAATATGGCAGTATCACAAGCTAGCAAGAAGTGCACAGTCCATTGAACTTTGTGGCAGCAGAAGTTTCTGGATGGCCTTCAAGCATAAACTAAACAATGTATCACAAGAATCATGAGTGATGGTCCCCGGTACATCCTGTTTTAAGGAGAGCCACAATTGGTAGACTAGCACAAGCTGAGCAAAAACCTCCCTAGGCATAACTGGCATCTGTTCCATCTTTTACCATATGTTCTTCTACCAAGAATTATGACTCCCCAATAGTCCTCTCCCCAAAAATGGTTAGCCCATTTTTTATGGATAGCGTATAATGTAAAGATAATCTTAGAATCAATAAGTATTGGTGCCTGCTTAGGTTGTGTTTAAGACTAATCTTCCCCATTCAAATTCTGACATTTTCCAGGATTAGGGTGAGGTTAGCTTCTCACTGAGTTTTTTGCATCTCCATTAGGACCTATTAGAAGATTAATCGCTGGATACCCATCAACATGTGGATATTTCACCATAGTGGACAGCCTCTTCTGAAAGCTTTATATAGATGTTTATCAGATTGAAAAAAAAATTAAGCTCTGTAACACCCCCCCAAAAATGAGCAGCATCTTCATTTCTGCCACCACTGACTGAATTTGCCTGCTCTTTGTGCTCTTCTTTACACGACAGGTCCAAAATTTATGTAACTGTTAACTGGTGAAAGACTTGATGCTCTAGTCTAATTTTAGTTATATGTGGTTGAGCTTCATCTTGTCCTGCACTTCAAAGATCCCCAGATAACCTCTGTTCTATAATGGAAATTTTTTAAAAATGTAGCAAGGATGTTGTGTTATGCTTAATGTTGTGTGGAGAAAAGCTGGGCAACAATATTGTACTTTTTATGAAATGAATGCTATTTTAGATGTTTGGGCTAAAATGATTCACAGAAATAGTACATCTCTGTTTTCAATGCAGAGCATTGTCACGTCATTATTGGCAATCCCTTAAAACATTTTTGATAGTCAATCGGTCCATCCATCCATCCAATTTATAGGGCTGCCCATCTCAAAAAAAAAAGTGACTGGATGGCATACAACAAAATTATAAAACAATAATATATCTGAAAATTTACAATCTGAAAATTTTTAAAGCCTGTTATTAAAAACTAAGGGAGGACAGTAAATATTAAGAGCAATGGAGCCACCTCAGCAAATAATTGGCTCCCCAATTTCTGTGTTAATAAGTTTTTAATATTCAAGAATTTCAAAATAAGCACCAGATTGAAATAATATAACTTTCTGTTTAAAAAAATAGAATACTATCTTAGGTTGGGCTAAAAGTTGATGCACTCTGGAATGGAACAGCAGAACCAGATTCCCACAAGATTGTTACACATTAAATAACATTTAAATTGAAAAACTTACTAAGTTTGAAAGCATTAACAAAAAAAATAAGGATTTAAACAAGTTTCTCACCTAAATGTGAAAAAGAAAAGTTATTAATGGAGGCACATACCAATTCTCCAATAAAACCTACTGTTTTACGACCAAGTAAAGCAGATATATACTTAAGTTGAAAATTCAGTACCTTCTCAGAAAGTGTACAGAATTGTGTGTATGTATATCCCATATACAACCTAGCTGTAATGAATAATCAGAGTTGAGGGAGGTAATTTTATTTTGTATGTACTCAAGACATGCACCATTAATTGTTCTCCTGTCTCTCTGAAAGCGTCATTCTTTAAACATAACTCTTAACATGGTGCTAATGCATATTAATACAGTTTCGATACTAAACAAATATTTTTGATATACATTTACATCTTAGAGAGGGATGTTGTCCAGAACATGCTTCAGGATAGCTAGACCTCTTGAAACTGATCACCAGATGCTAAGCTAAGTGACCTTGTGTTTCTTAATTGGCAGGGGAAGTCATTTCCCTTTGTTCAGCTTTGCTGCTATACCACTGGTTGAGGGGAGGAAAAGAAGATTGTGGCAGCAAATACCAATTGAAGGCAGTAACTGCTTCATCACTCTTGTAGAGAGTAAGGAAGGATGATCTTGGAGGAGGTATGCAAGAGCCGTTACCTAGGCAAAAGGGGCTGACACATTTTATAAGCTTAGAATAGCAGGATAACATTCAAAAGTGGTTCAGGTAGAGATGCCTGTCTAACTCACTGAACTATAAGAAGGGAAGGAGACACAGCATAATCAGACTTGAAAGAGTATTATTATAGCTAATCTTAATAAAAGTAGTTTCAGCCTTACTGTAGAGTTGTCGGTCTAGTACAGGGTTGTCAAACTCCTGGACCATGGGCCAGATGTGTAACGCCTGACCATGCCATGGCCAGCAAAGGGGGGGAAAGTCACATGACACTGTCATGATGATGTGAGTTTGACACCCCTGATCTAGTAGGGCTGACAACTGTAGAATTGTCTTGGTTGGTTGGGATAGGTTTGTTTCTTTCTCTATACAGTTTTGCTAACTCAGTGCATATATGAAAAAACCTGGTTGGATTCAGATAAAAGTGTGTGGAAGATAACAGCTTGAAAGGTTGGTTAAAAAATGACAAGTAGATGGGAGTGCTTCCATCTAATCTTTGGAGATTCTCCTTCCTTTTTAGTCACAATCTGTGGCACTCAGCAAAACCACCTACTTTTGGGACTGGCTTTTGGGGCTAGGGGATTGGGAGAGAATTTGGTAGAAGACACCCATATGTTGGTTGCCTATCTCTTTTCAACTTATTACAGTAAACTCTTGATTTTTCAGACCTCAATTGCAGTGGATTTTGCATCGAATGAATCAGTTTTCTAATTGATTACAGGTGCCCCTCATTTAACAACCACTCAATCAGCGTCCATTTGAACTTATGACAGCACTGAATGAGTAGTAGTTATGACTGGAGCTCATACTTAACAATGTTGCAGCAATTACCACGATCACATGATCATCATTTGCAATCTTCCCTGCTGGTTTCTGCCAAGCAAAGTCAAGGGGAAGCCAACAAGAAGTTGCAAGTCACAGTCACATGAGGTCCTTGCTTAACAACCTGCACAATTCTCCTTTAGTTGCTGGAAGTGCTACTGTTAAGCACAGTGACAAGATTTTTTGGCTTAATGATGGAGTTTCTAGTCCCAAATATCATTAAAGGAAGACTATAATTTCATTTGTGCAGTGGTGTCACAATACAAACAGTGTAATTTATATTATTTTTGTAATTCTATAACGCAAATCACTTCAAGTGAGTAGTTATGAAATTCATTGATATTGTAGTTATCAATAGTTAATAGTTCAGTACTTGTGAAATTTGTTAATACAAACAGTTTTTGACTTATCATCACAATTGGGACCAAAATTTCGAACACAAGTCATTGTGGTCATAAATCAAGTGGGTTGATTTTGCAACAATTTTTATGGTGGTCATTAAATGAAACACTGCAGTTATTAAGCAAATTCAGCTTCCCCAATAGGCACCTTGTGTTGCAAATTGTCAAAAAGTTTGCAGATCGCAATCATGTGACCTTAGGATGCTGCAACTGGTCAAAAATGCAAGGCAGTTGCCAAGTGCAAATTGCAATTATATGACCACAGGGATGGTGCAACTGTCATAAGTGTGAATATAGGTTGTAAGTTATTTTTTCCAAGGCCATCATAACTTTGAACCATTGTTTAAAAAGTGGTCATAAGTCAAGGACTATATGCAACTGAACTTCCTTCAGATAGTCCATTAAAACAAAACTTCATTTTTTTCTTTCAAATATGAATTTGTTTTAAAATAAATGGCATTTCAGTCAGATTCTAACTTCATGAGAATTATCTGCTGTGATAGGATTGAAAAGAGGAACATTTATGGAGAAGAAAAATTGATAGCAAACAAGGGATTCATAATTACATTGAGTGCATGTTTCATTGCTTCCCATCCACTTATTTTTTTAAAAAATGTGTACACATGACTTGTGGGCATGCAGTTTTAACTCATTTTGTCTTTGTTTTAAACAAAACTTAGATAAATATCTCTATGTCTGTTTGTATGTTTAATGTGAAGATAGATTATAGATGAAGTAAGAAAACTATACTGAACTGTTGTGCTGTCATTTCTAGGAGGAGAGACTTCAGCATGCAAACCTTCAACTGTTCGGCTTGCACCATCATTTTCATTCCATGCGGCTGGCCTTCAGATGGCTGGACAGATGTCCCATTCACATCAGCAGTACAGTGATCGTCGACAGCAGAACATAAGCGACCAACAAGTTTCTGCCTTACCATATGCTGATCAGATTCAGCAGCCTCCTGCTAACCAGGTATGTTAACTTTAACACTTGTAAAATAGCATTTTACTTAAAACAGGGGGCACATTCTTCTATTAACAGCTTCTGTATAATTCAACTCATCTTTGTGCTAAGCATTTGGAAAAATTGGTTTGAAGTAACATACAAATTCTGCTATAAGTATATTTCACTTTCTGCAAGGAATGTTTTTTTTTTAATTTATATTGCCATGAATCACTGTGATTGCAGTAGACTTTTTTTAACCAACATAGTTATTTGCAATATTTTGCCCAAGGGGCTGCTTAGCAAAAGTAGTGTAGTCAAGATTCAACTTTATTCATTTTCTATTTCATTCATACCTGAAAAGGCAACTGTAAAGGTACCTAATGTAAATTATAGAAAATATGTTCATTATGTCTGCTCTATTTTAAAAGAGCAAAAAAAAAAATTGAGAACATAATAAGTAGACTTGGAATCCATCAACTGGCAACTGGTGCGATCTTACTTAATATTTGTATTGGGGTTCTATGGGACACTTGGGATCACATTCTGATTTTATGTTTGCATAGTTTTGTTCTTAATTATCTTCACGCTATGTTGAACTTCTTAATTCTTTTCTGTTAGATAGCAAATCTAAATTAGATACAGGTACTCCTCAACTTAACCATTTGTTTAGTGACCACTTGAAGTTACAGCAGTACTGAAAAAGGTGACTTACAGTTGTTTTTTACATGATCATTGCAGCGTCCCCAGGGTCACGTGATCAAATTTGGATGCTGGGCAATTGCATGTCCCATTGATTCACATGTGTGGATTTGCTCAGTGTATTGTACTGTGCAGTACAAACAATTTATCAACTTCTCTAATATCTTCATGTCTAATGTTGTTATTACTTGCTTATCATTCAGCAAATGAACATTCGTTAGACCAATCAGCCACTGTCACCTGCAATTTTGTCTTATATTTTAAATAAATTGTATCACTGCCATATTACTGTGAAGAAACTACTACTGAAAACAACAGACTCTTGATAAATTCTTTAGTTTAAAATTACTGAGCAAGCAAAGTTGTGAACATTTATAAATGTGTCTTTGATTCAATCGAAGACTGATCAGAAGAAATCCGATTAAAATATTTTTTAATGCTACAGCTCCATCTAGTGGTCAAACGGAAATCCATGCACAGATCATATTTGTTATTAATGGGAAATTAAAAGTACTAAGTTTGATAAAATTCACTCTCTGATCATTTAATATAAAATTTTAAAGGAAATGTTAGTGTACTGTATTTGCAAATGTAGAGTAATATGTAATTCAAGTAAAAAGTGAAATTCTGTCTTTATCACAAGTATATAAATTACACTGCTCAAAAAATAAAGGGAACACAAAAATAAAACATCCTAGATATGAATGAATGAAATATTCTTATTAAATACTTTGTTCATTACATAGTTGAATGTGCTGACAACAAAATCACACAAAAATTATCAATGGAAATCAAATTTAGCAACCCATGGAGGTCTGGATTTGGAGTTACACTCAAAATTAAAGTGGAAAAAAACACTACAGGCTGATCCAACTTTGATGTGATGTCCTTAAAACAAGTCAAAATGAGGCTCAGTAGTGTGTGTGGCCTCCACGGGCCTGTATGACCTCCCTACAATGCCTGGGCATGCTCCTGATGAGGTGGCGGATGGTCTCTTGAGGGATCTCTTCCCACACCTGGACTAAAGCATCCCCCAACTCCTGGACAGTCTGGTGCAGTGGTGGCTGGAGCAAGACATGATGTCCCAGATGTGCTCAATTGGATTCAGGTCTGGGGAACGGGCGGGCCAGTCCATAGCATCAATGCCTTCGTCTTGCAGGAAATGCCGACACACTCCAGCCACATGAGGTCTAGCATTGTCTTGCATTAGGAGGAACCCAGGGCCAACCGCACCAGCATATGGTCTCACAAGGAGTCTGAGGATCTCATCTCGGTACCTAATGGCAGTCAGGCTACCTCTGGCGAGCACATAGAGGGCTGTGCAACCCCCTAAAGAAATGCCACCCCACACCATTACTGACCCACTGCCAAACCGGTCATGCTGGAGGATGTTGCAGGCAGCAGAACGTTCTCCACAGCCTTTCCAGACCCTGTCACGTCTGTCACATGTGCTCTGTGTGAACCTGCTTTCATCTGTGAAGAGCACAGGGCGCCAGTGGCAAATTTGCCAATCTTGGTGTTCTCTGGCAAATCCCAAACGTCCTGCACGGTGTTGGGCTGTAAGCACAACCCCCACCTGTGGACATCGGGTCCTCATACCACCCTCATGGAGTCTGTTTCTGACCATTTGAGCAGCCACATACGCATTTGTGGCCCACTGGAGGTCATTTTGCAGGGCTCTGGCAGTGCTCCTCCTGTCCCTCTTTGCACAAAGGCAGAGGTAGCAGTCCTAATGCTGGGTTGTTGCCTTCCTACGGCCTCCTCCACGTCTCCTGATGTACTGGACTGTCTCCTGGTAGCGCCTCCATGCTCTGGACACTACACTGACAGACACAGCAAACCTTGCCACAGCTCGCATTGATGTGCCATCCTGGATGAGCTGCACTACCTGAGCCACTTGTATAGGTTGTAGCCTCCGTCTCATGCTACCACTAGAGTGAAAGCACCGCCAGTATTAAAAAGTGACCAAACCACCAGCCAGAAAGCATAGGAACTGAGAAGTGGTCTGTGGTCACCACCTGCAGAACCACTCCTTTATTGGGGATGTCTTGCTAACTGCCTATGCTTTCCACCTGATGTCTATTCCATTTGCACAACAGCATGTGAAATTGATTGTCAATCAGTGTTGCTACCTAAGTGGACAGTTTGATTTCACAGAAGTGTGATTGACTTGGAGTTACATTGTGTTGTTTAAGTGTTCCCTTTATTTTTTTTGAGCAGTGTACATTGGCCTATAAATTAATATAAATGTAAGAGTTTGATCTAGTCAGTAAAATCATATTAAAATCAGTATTGTTAAAATCAATTAACAATTTAATTGATTAATTAAAAGGTTAACAAATAGATTCATCTTTCTTAAATACTAAGAGAATGGAGACATATTCTAGTGGAGAGAAAGTTCTATTGCCTGAGTACTCATCACTTGTTGATTAGGTACCAAATTACTTGCAGTAGAAGCATTTTAAGTCCACTTTTTTTCTGATCTGGGTATCTGGATAAGTTATAGTGGGAGATGTATTTCAACTATTCAAGTCCTGATTTGTTTAAGATTTTAAAATTAACACCAGAATCTTTATTTATTTATTCAATTTATATTGCCATCAGGCTCACATCCATGTTGATAGGTGTATTACAATAAAATAAGTAAAACCCCATAGCAGCTGGACAGCATCCAAACAATTCAGCATAGCCTGAAGGTGGCCTTGTTACACACCCAGAGCTACAGAGAGGGACAGTATAATATCATGGGGATGATATTCCAAAGGGCAGATGCCATCAGAAAAGGCTCTCCTAAGTCCCACCAGCCAATACTTCCTAGCCAAGAATACCTGTGGCATGCACCTAGGTGCATATCAGGGGGATATTTGGGGAGGATCTGTCTGTTAAGTAACCCGGTCTTAAACCATGAAGGGCTTTAAAAGTGCCAATTAGTATCTTAAATTGCACCCAGAAGTGCAATTCATGTTAATAAATGTCATGTATGCTGGGTGAATTAATTGCCTGAATTAATTGCCTGCAGCATCACGTTCTTCATTAATTGAAACTTCCAATTCTTTAAGGGCAGCCCTATGCAGAGCACATTACAATAATCAAATGTAGAGGTCATAAAAATTGTCCAGTATCATGAGATATAGTGATGGCCTCCTGGGCAGACCACAGCTTCCTTAAGAGATGATGGTGGAATTATTCATTCTCTCAAAGAGAAATTAACTACTGTCAGAGCCTAATCTCATTTTCCTTCCCTTCATTGACCAGAAAGGCATGCAGCTTACAGAAGTTGCTGTTCTAATGGCCCCAAGGACCCTATCCTCTTGCTTGGGCCTATCTTATGGTAGTAAGAACAGCAATAGGATCAGACTCTCCCTAGATAATTGAGCTAGACCTGGTCCCAATAATTGCCTGGAGTTCAACTTAGAGCTGGAGTTCAACTTAGAGCAGATAAGATTGACAAGTATATTCTTCACAATAACTCTAAATAATCGCCAGAACCCTCCTTGTACTTCCAATAAGGGTAGACAACTACAAAAGCATTGCTGCTCTTACTGCCACAATAGCAGTCGTCTCTCATATTGGGATTCGCTGCTTATCATCCTACAGTAGCTTTCTAAGCGTCTCTTCTTCTGCTTCATCTTCCTTAGTTCTGTCAAGCGCAGGAAATCAGAAGTCCAGACAGTTCAAAATGAATATAAAGGTTCATTGCAAGCTTATGTTAGCTACAAGAACTGAGCTACTAAGGGTCAGAGCAAATTGGTGGTAGATAAGTCAATGGAATTCAAGATCAGCTGGACTCTAGTGGTATGAAGGGGTTTGAGAGTGATGATGCATTTCACTCTTCCCTCAGGCTCAGCCTGTTCATCTCCTACATCCACCCTCCACTTTGCTCCCCCCTTCCATGGGTTCTTCTATAGTTCTTTCCTCCTCAAAATCTGAGTTCTCATGGGAACTTGGCAAAGAGGGAAGGAAAGTGGTTTCAAAGGAATTCGGCTCCCCCGCATTTGAAGTAGCTGGCAAGCCAGGTAGTGGTTGCTGCAACACAAAAACATTGTTAGAGGTTTCCTCTTCCCTGCTTGGGAGTTGAAGGCCGGATGTGGTAGGCCCATTGTGGCAAGGATCCCGCTTCTCCCTGGCGCAATCCAGAGGGGCTGGTTAACCTATTCCTCAACAGGTTCCTCCAACGAAACTGGATGGAGAGCTGGAGCTTGGTCCACAATGACTTGTCAGGGAAGTGCTGGTTAAACTGACAAACCAGGGGCATGAGCATCAGGGGCATTTTCCCAGGAGCCTTTCCAATGATTCAAACACAAATGCCTTTACCTTTTTTCCTAGAG